GTACAAAACACTTGAGGAAAACGACGTTATTGTTTGAAGTGTGTGCACTGTTATACAACAGAAGTTGGGACTGTATGAGTCTCACTTGGAGTTGCTGTGACTTGATTCTACAGAGCTCACTGCACTGCATATGTGACCAATCACAGTGTTTTGAACATGCCCAGCATTTACCTTCTACCTTCACTAGATTTTACGGGAACCAGGCTATTTATCCGAACTTTTCGCCAAGTTGTGTGAAGCTGCCGTGGTTGTATACAGGGACGTCAGAAGGTATTTTAGTGTGGTACGGTCAGCCATCTGAAGTACAATTTACTCGTGCGGGAGGAGTGGCTGAGCCGAAAATGTTGGGAATTTAGATCCCAGATCAGTGTATTGTATTGACTCACAGGGTACCTGGGGCAAAACGTGGTACCGTCAATACCGTAGTGACTGTACCGTGTGCGACGTCCCTGATATATCAGGCAAGTTTAGTGCCAGGGGCGTTGGAAAGTAGTCCGCGTTGGCTCGGCAATGCAGAGGTCCTCCACAGGAATGTTAAATAAAAAAATCGATTTGGCCCAAATAGCCCATAGTTTATTGTTTCGAAATCGCAAGCTTACAATTATCGGTACGGCTTTGGCCGCACCTGCTGCACCGGTTCCAACACACCTCAATACAGATAGCCGGGAGCTACTATGAATATACCCTGGACTATCCCCCCCCCCTCCCCCCTCCCCCGATGAGGATGATAATTTGGGAATTGCAGTTAAAGGGGAAGTTAAGGCAAAAATTAAAATTTCACCAGTTGTAGTCTTCGGGGTGCTGAGTCGAATGGTCTTGGTCCGAGAAAGCTGAGACGCTCCCTTCCTACTTGAATCCCAATCGAACTCGCGCACTTCCACCGAAACTGGGTGACTGCGCCCTACTAGATGGGGATTTGTATGCAAAATGTCACTAAAAGCGCCATTTCGTTCTTATAAAAGCACGGATGACCGCGATTGGCCCATATGTTGTAGTCTTTTGGACGCTGAGTCGACTGGTTTTGGTCCGAAAAGGCTGCGATGCAGCGTTCCTCCTTTATTCCCAATCGAACATGGTTGAACAAGTGGTCACGTGCTCCTGGGTGCCCAAATCACCTGGTCACCACGCCAGCACCGGCCCAGCAGGCGACAACTTTCACACCAAGGTTCAACTCGAGTTCAACTCGAGTGACAGGACTGCACCCAAAAAAGGTCAAACAGGCTAGTAAGTTGTACCCTGCAGGCACGGTGACCAAGTGACTGGTGTACGCAGAAGCACGTGACCACTTGTTCAACCATGTTCGATTGGGAATAAAGGAGGAACGCTGCATCGCAGCCTTTTCGGACCAAAACCAGTCGACTCAGCGTCCAAAAGACTACAACATATGGGCCAATCGCGGTCATCCGTGCTTTTATAAGAACGAAATGGCGCTTTTAGTGACATTTTGCATACAAATCCCCATCTAGTAGGGCGCAGTCACCCAGTTTCGGTGGAAGTGCGCGAGTTCGATTGGGATTCAAGTAGGAAGGGAGCGTCTCAGCTTCCTCGGACCAAGACCATTCGACTCAGCACCCCGAAGACTACAACTGGTGAAATTTTAATTTTTGCCTTAACTTCCCCTTTAAGTATTAGGAAATTAGAGGCCACATGCCTCGTACTGCTAATTCTCCGTGAAGTCCAAATTTGAAATTGCAAAAATTGCAGTGAAGATATGATATATCTTCACTGCAATTCCTTTACCAAACTATTGTGTTCTGGTTACTAAGATTAATGGACCTGTCCACAAAGTGCATGTCATGTGAGTATCTGCTCTATGTTCTACCTGTATTGTTCATTCTGTACTAGCTGATGTAGAGGTGAACATTGCTATTAATATCTCGGATTGTGACCCGGCGGTTTCAAACTTCACAGTCAAGGTGGACCTGCAAGGAGACAAACGGGGGGACATAAAAGACTTTTGGTTTGACTACAGTATCTACCCTTTCCGTAACAAGACACGGTTTACAGTACAGAATCCTGTCAGCATCTTGGCCTGCACGGCTAACACCACTGTAAATCTGACTCACAATGCAAGCAATATCACACTTCACAACGGCACCATTGTTGTCAAAGTAAGTTGTCTTCTCATTGTGACTTATTTACATCAGCTAGCCCTGGATCTGTCCCCTCGCTGAGTACCAGCATGGCTGCAGAGATTCCGTGATGAGAGAGTGAGAAAGAGAGAGAAAGAGAGAGAGAGAGAGAGAGAGAGAGAGAGAGAGAGAGAGAGAGAGAGAGAGAGAGAGAGAGAGAGAGAGAGAGAGAGAGAGAGAGAGAGAGAGAGAGAGAGAGAGAGAGAGAGAGAGAGAGAGAGAGAGAGAGAGAGAGAGAGAGAGAGAGAGAGAGAGAGAGAGAGAGAGAGAGAGAGAGAGAGAGAGAGAGAGAGAGAGAGAGAGAGAGAGAGAGAGAGAGAGAGAGAGAGAGAGAGAGAGAGAGAGAGAGAGAGAGAGAGAGAGAGAGAGAGAGAGAGAGAGAGAGAGAGAGAGAGAGAGGGGAGAGAGAGAGAGAGAGAGAGAGATCATAGTAGAGATAGAGATAGAGAGAGTGTGTGTGCGTGTGTGTGTGTGTGTGTGTGTGTGTGTGTGTGTGTGTGTGTGTGTGTGTGTGTGTGTGTGGAGAGAGAGAGAGAGAGAGAGAGAGAGAGAGAGAGCGGACGAGGAGGACAGAGAGAGAGAGAGAGAGAGAGAGAGAGCGGACGAGGAGGACAGAGAGAGAGAGAGAGAGTGAGAGAGAGAGAAAGAGAGGGTGAGAAGATGAGAGTGTGAGAGGGAGAGGCAGAGCATGGGAGAGAGAAGGAAATAGAGCAAAAGAGATAGCTCGATAAAGCTTGAATGGACTGCACACAGCACACTTAGATTGCGTCTCTGTCTTCTCAATTGAATTTCCAGGCTGGCATTAACTTTAAAGGGAGCATATACTTCAGCACTACACTGGGAGTAGTCAATTTAGGTAAGTATTTCCCGTTAGAGAACCCATTCGTCTTCTGCATGTGTGTGTGCGTGTGTGTGTTTGTGTGTGTTTTGTGTGTGTGTATGTGTGTGTGTGTGTGTGTGTGTGTGTGCTTGCCCATATGGTGCAGTGGTATGTGTAGTCGATTTCCAATCGAGATGTTGCGGGTTCATTTCCTGACGATTGTGGTTGCACATGTTTTTCTTCTCTTTCTCATTCTCCTTGCTCTTCTTTCATTCTCCTGCGTGGGTACCAACAGCCAGTGCATGTCGGAGTATGTGGTGTGATGTGTGTGTGGGAAAAAATGAAAAAAAACAAAAAAGTAGGGATTCACTAGGCAGAAAAAGCCACTTCATAGCTGTGTGGGGTAGACCAGGCTAAATAGTGGCGGTCAATTCTTCAGCCTTGCAAACTGTTGAATGGCACAATCCCAGCACAAGTTGCTATGGCTTCTGCTGTAGCATCGCTATCATCGCTTCCAGCGATGGGCGTCAAATGGTCCAACGGTCAAATAGTGTGTGTGTGTGTGTGTGTGTGTGTGTGTGTGTGTGTGTGTGTGTGTGTGTGTGTGTGTGTGTGTGTGTGTGTGTGTGTGTGTGTGTGTGTGTGTGTGTGTGTGTGTGTGTACTTGTGCGTTTTGTGTGCACGTGTGTGAAGTAACCTGATGCAACACTGTGCAATGTATTTGGGTAATTCCAGAAGCAGGAACACCGAGGTGGCAGCATTTAACAGTACAACTACCGTATCATCACCATTATAAGCCCCGCGCTTATATTTTTTCAACCAGTCCGGACCCCGGGCTTATATTATAGACTGGGTTTCTACAAGAGACTGGGCTTATAATTTTTCAACCACCTGGTACATGCACATTGCTTATTATTTTTCATTATATCAGTGGCACAAAGTTTCCCAGCAGGTACCGGGACTGCAGTTGTGTGCTTCCTGGTACACTGAGTGAGTCTGAACTTTAGATCTCGGGGATCACAGACTTTTACCACAGGAATCACCATGTGTTTATGTGATGTGTGGCGTCAAACATGCATGGACATGATCCATACAGTTCTCCATTATAAGCCCTGCGCTTATATTGGAGACTGCGCTTGTATATCTTCGAAGCCCTCTTGGAGTGCGCTTATAATAATTATAATAGAGACTGGGCTTCTACAAGAGACTGACTGCGCTTGTAATAGAGATAATACGGTATTCAGTATTCATTCATTTCACCAGGTCTAAGGAACTTTCCCACCTCTTCAAGTTATATGAACAAAAGATCATTCTGTACACATTTATTAGACTGCAACGAAAGATAAAGAAGAAGAGGTGTTCTGGAAGTGTTGCATTGAAATTAATGAAGTCATCCATATTTTAAATTTTTAATATGCACGATGTTAAAGAAAAAATTCAGCTCAGAAGGAATCCTAAATTGCTGTGTAGTTTGGTTTTAGCTCACTCTTGCCCTCCTACATATTGCTTTTGTCTTCTTGTTGTTTTTGTCGTCGTCATCGCCGCTGCGTCATCCTGATCATTGTCGCTGTCGTGGCCGCCACTGTTGTCATGGCCACCGCTGTCATGGACACCGCTGTTGTCATGGCCACCTCTGTTGTCGTGGCGATTGTCGTTGTCACTGCCGCCGGCCCTTGGTGTTGTGCTCGTTGTGATTGGCATGGTCATCGGCGTCATCGTCGTGGACATGGCCACTATCCGTGAATCACGGCACTGCTGCTTGGAATCTGATGTCCCTGCTTCAACTAGTCTGCCACAATGCTAAGAATATTAGTAAGAAAGACAACAATGATACTAAAAATGGAACCAACAATTATACTAAAAATGGAATCTGGAAAATACCCACAGCAATCACGGTCCCAATAGGTGCAGGACTGGTCATTAGCGTTGTCTATCTCTTATATAAGAGGTAAGTGATCACTTCTTATCGCTAGCCTTGGTCCCATGTCTGTTTTCTAATGCTCAAACAAAGTATCAGCTTATATTTGCGTTGGGAAACACAACTAGCTAGGAGAAGTTTTGCCCATGCCAGGCCAACCCCGTGCCTGATTTTGCCAGGGTGGCAGGGTATAACTGTGTTGAATTACATTAATTCCATCGACTTCTTTTTTGCGCCGCTGCCTGGCCAACTGCCGTCAGTTCACTTGGTTGTAGATCTTGTTGAGGAGCTCACCTGGTTTAAAAAACTTGTTCCACAGCAAGGTGACTATCCAGGAAGCCCGGCATCTTTTCTTTGCTAGCCATTGGCATTGCGACAAGGTGTTCTTGGCAATGGACATGCAGCACTTCAACAAAAATGATTTGCTCGCTTATCACGCAGTATGACAATACGGGGCCGATGATTGCTAGCAATGCCTCACCACTCATTGCCCCCCCCCCCCCCCCTCTCCCCTCACCAGATACTTGAAACCTTTGTCTGGACACAGTGATTTTGGAAAAAAGGTCAATTGCTGTTGAATGTAGCCATGACAGGCTATACAATGTTATGTGTGTAACAACAACAGTTCTAACCTCCCAAAAATGTGCAACTATGCACATGGGTGTCTGATCTTCAAACTCTCAACAGGTGGTCCACATCTGCTGCAAGTACGTAACGTATTTGCCAGAGTATAATGCGCACCTGAGCCTAATACCTGAGATAGCACATCTAAAGTGTGCCCTATGCTCCGGCAGATACGGAATTGTGTGTTTTGTGCTACATAAATCAGGGCCAGTGGACCATCAATCTGGATCTCAAAGAGGTTTAATTAACTTGTCTACGCCAGGGACCGGAGTGATATTTTATCACTCTATTTTTTAAATATTTTAATATGCCCTGGACACATGCAATGGGAATGCATCTCCACATGATGTGAGTTCTCACCGCCAACAAACTCCCATATGTGTTACCTTCCTGAGCTGCAGACTGCTCAGCCCAGCCACGGTGCATTGCATTAACCCTTAATGGACCGGATAAATGTACGGAGACTCAATTTGACCTCAACTCACCTAGTTCTTCCGTGTTCCGTATTCTCCGAATCATAACTTTGGTCTCCGGCTTTGGACAAGTTTTACAATCTCGGGCTTCCTTAACATGAACATCACCAACAATCCAGCATTCACCGTTGACGGGCTCCCGTAAGAAGACCATAGGTCTGTGGGAAACACCCTAGTAAAATAAAAGTTAATAATAATAATAATACTACCTCCGACAAGCGAAACTTGGCTCGTTTTTTTTGATTTTTTTGGGTTTGTACCACAAGTTACTTCACAAGGCAGTGTGTGTGTGTGTGTGTGTGTGAAGTACGCTATGACCTACTTGTAGTTACTGTTGTACCCTCCATGCAACCGGGTGCAGGAAGCCATGCGACGAGCTGGTGAGTGGCACATGGCTCGACTAGTCAGAAGCAGGCCAGTCTCTCGTGTACCAGCACAACAGTGCGCGCGCGAGCCGCGCGTCCATTCTGCGAAGGAGAATCGTCGTGATTTCGCGTTTCAATGCAAGACCAAGGAGTTCTCTCTCTCTCTCTCTCTCTCTCTCTTCACTTGATCACTCAGCCAGCACAGAGTCCATACGTCCATGCCAAATAATCCTAGCGTCTTTCAATAGCCTTCAGAGCCATGCGTCTCTGGTGGCTAAGGAAAAGCGCCAGGAATTGCTGCCTGCAATTTTGGACAATTGGCGAGAATACCCGGCAAAAAAGTTTCAGTCCAGGCGCGTGTGGAGGTGTTGCACAGTTCTTACCACGTCAACCTGGATAGTGGCGGCAGAAATGTCGAGGGTCGACACCGTGGCTCAAGCACAGGAGCGACATCGAGATTTCCAGAGCGATCACAACAGAGATACTTGCGGCAACTGAATCCGCTCTAGTCGCGCTTTCGTCTCAAAACAGGGACAATTCCTCTCCAGAAGAAACTGCGATCTCTGAATCAGAGGAGAGTGATTCAGCCTAACGGAGGTTTCTAATGTCCTTGTTGAGCAATACAAAGTTGTATTTTGGTGAGTCAATCATTAGTCCTGATTGTCAAGTGTGAGTTATTTCGAGTTATTTGAAGTAAAAAACGCGCCAAGTTTCGCTTGTCGGAGGTATTAATAATAACTGCTGCAGGGTCGAGATGCCGTTCGCAAGTGAAGGCCAAGCTCTTGCGAAAGGCTGTGCCCAGTGCACGCCCTGGTGTTTGCCATCATGGTTTTGCCGGGACCATGTAGGCCTGAAGTCGTGTCCTCCTCCGAGGCGGGATTTCATTCTAAACCCCTATACACGTACATGGTCTAACAGTTTGTTGTGTAGCCTCTTTTACCGGCAAAAACTAACACAATGGAGTGAAATGTAATACAAAACTGGAGAAGAAATCAGGAAAATGCGTGTGTAAAATAAAGATTTTCAAACGCAAACCCCAAAAACCATGGTCCAACAGCCAACACCTAGTGTGTAACAGTGTGAACATTTAAAATATGTTATGACTTGACTTATGGCATGATTGCTCGTGCGCTTGTTGGCAGGAGAGTAGACAAGCGTAAGCTGCGGGAAGCGATGAAACTGCAGACGTCACTCCGGTCCGACTACGATATGCCTTTTGACTTGGAAGGTAGGACCACGACTCAGCTGAGTGGCGGTTGTTGTTACCGGTATATATATAATTTTTTATTCAATCTGCGGACAGCATGTTGTTTCGTTCTTTGTGAACTCATCAGCGCAGCACAGAGGAAATGAGAGTTTTAATTATATTACTAAGGCAATCCACGCAGACTAGAAGTCTTTTTACAGGGTACCCTAGGTACGTGTGTTCAAAACAGCTGTATGACGAAAACGGAAGCTGCACACAATGTCACCATGTTTTGCAAAAGGAGCTGCATAGAAGCATGTTAAAGGGGAAGTTAAGCCTATAATCAAATTTTCACCAGTTGTAGTCTTCGGGGTGTTGAGTCGAATGGTCTTGGTACGATGAAGCTGAGACACTCCCTTCCTCCTTTACTCCCAATCGAACTCGCGCGCTTCCACCGAAACTGGGTGACTGCACCCTACTGGATGGGGATTTGTATGCGAAATGTCGTTCTTATAAAGCACGGATGACCGTGATTATAATTATGTTGTAGTCTTTTGGACGCTGAGTCGACTGGTTTTGGTCCGAAAAGGCTGCGATGTAAGGTTCGGCCCTTATTCCCAATCGAACATGGCTGAACAAGCGGTCATGTGCTCGTGCGTACACCAGTCACCTGGTCACCGTGCCTGCAGGCTACAACTTACAGCATGTTTGGGCGAGTTTCTGTCACTCGAGTTGAACCTTTGAACCTTTGAGTTGAACCTAAGTCCTTGGTGTGAAAGTTGTCGGCTGCTGGCTCAGTGACCAAGTGACTGGTGTATGCAAGACCACGTAACCGCTTGTTCAACCATGTTCAATTGGGAATGAGGGCCGAACGCTGCAACGCAGTCTTTCGGACGAAAATCAGTCGACTCAGCGTCCAAAAGACTACAACATATGGGCCAATCGCGGTCATCCGAGCTTTTATAAGAACGAGATGGCGCTTTTAGTGACATTTTGCATACAAATACTCATCTAGTAGGGCGCAGTCACCCAGTTTCGGTGGAAGTGCGCGAGTTCGATTGGGAATAAAGGAGGAAGGGAGCGCCTCAGCTTCCTCGGACCAACACCATTCGACTCAGCACCCCGATCACTACAACTGGTGAAATTTTGATTTTAGGCTTAACTTCCCCTTTAAATACGGTGCTCCGTTGACGATAGCGCGGTTTATAGATCAGGATGTGAGTATGCATGTGTATGGTGTGCTGTGCCTGCACAGCAGGGTGGATTCCGATGCCCAGTTGCAGATGTTTGTACGGTGCGCACACGTGTGTGTGTGTGTATATGGGTGGGTGTATATGGGTGTGTGCATGCATGTTCGTGTGCGCTAGTGATGTAACGAATAATCGATTGTTCAAATTTCCTCGATCTCGTGGACCTCAATGAATAATCGATCGGATAAAATCTAAGTCGAAGGTTTGAAAATTCGAATGTTTGCGGTCAGGCGAAGTCCGTGCGCTGCATACAGCGCACACGCGCTACTCTAGATCTCTCGAGTTGAATGCATAAACTTTGTACTGCGTTGCAGACAACGACTAGACTACTCGGTAGACCATGGTATATTTACTGTGACTCGAGTCTGAGCGCTTGTGTTGTGTGGTTGCTACATGTACACTTGTTGTGGAATAGTAGAATAATCGTTCGTTCGTTTGAGTGGTATTCGCTAGATAATTTGTTCGTAACATTCATGGTTCGTTACATCACTAATGTTTGTGTGTGTGTGTATGTTTGTGTGTGTGTATGTGTGTGTGTGTGTATGTGTGTGTGTGTGCGTGCCTTGCAGCCTAGGTAGTAGGTCGGATGTGCATGCATAATTTATATACTATTCAAAAAATTCTTACCGTTTTATTAGTTTCATGGAAGTGTTAAGGAAAAGGAATCGGCAAAATACATTGACTGTCATCACGAGGACTAGAACCATTTTTCCTTTGTTATGGGAACTGTGTATTGAACCTTGAGAGGGGGCGGGGCAGTGGGGTTCCTGCAGATGCGCAAACCTCGGTCTGACTGAGCCGCAGAATTTAATTATTTTCATGGGGAAATTCTAGGCCTACACGAGTGTTTCCATTCCTGTGGTGTGTGTGTGTGTGTGTGTGTGTGTGTGTTCACGTGCTGCAGGCTATGATGAAGATCCTACCTGGGAGCTGGTGGCGGACAGCATCGAGCTGGTGGAGGAGATAGGAGAGGGCGCCTTTGGCAAGGTCTTCAAGGGAATTCTCTCCACTGTGGAGGACGGCGACCTAACTGTGGCAGTGAAGGTAAGGCACACTTACTAGAGGTGGTGTGAGTTGCGCCGAATAGTACGAGAACTGTTGAGGAACCTAGCAAATGCCACCTAGATGTGCAAGAGCCTGCTGACATTGCCAAGATACAGCCTGAGCTTTGTAGACAGAATGAGTTTGCTAGGAAGCTAGTGCTATTTTTGACTTCCCACCTCCCTGTTATAGTACCTACTAAAGAGTTTCAATTCCGTTCCGCGATTGTTTGCCTGCTGAGATGCTTGATCTAATACTTGGAAAAGTATCCCAGATTGGTAAGTTCATTTTCCCGAGGATTATCACACAAGTGCAAAATCCAGAATCCGGGCAGAGCAAAAACACACAATATTTGTTGAAGCCATTCTTAAGGAGTTGCCTGGTCATCATTTCCACCCTTATCAAAATTCAGTCTCCTCACTCGGCTCTCCTTCTCGTCTAACACCTAAGTATTTTTTGTACTTGCATTTCATGACTTTGTGTTGTGGCCAATGGATCATTGTTTCTTCCCGGGCATGATTGGTTAGCTGCCTCTCTGAGTTCCCAAGTCGTCAACGATGTGTACATTGCTGCCCTTTTCAAATGCACGTTGCAGACACTGACACAGTGTGAGAACGTAGCGGAGAGGAACGCGTTCCTGATGGAAGCCTCCATAATGAAGTAAGTTGCCTTGTACGCAGATGAGCTCCGTGTACTACAGCGATGGTGCTGTTGTTTTCTTAACACACAGTTTGGCATGGAGCTCATGTTACTTTTTGGCTTGTTCCTTGAAAAATTCGGACGCAGAAAAAACAAAGTTCACAGACCCATATTTATGTATTTCATCCATGCAATACTGCACAAATGCTCTGCACTGTTGCGAAATTGTCGCTCTGGCACATGAAATGATGGTATCGTCAGTCCAAGCGGGGCTTTCAATATCCCTGGTAATGCTGTTTAACTGTTGTGTCTTGCATAGGAAATTTGACTCGCCCTACGTGATGAAGCTGATGGGCCTGGTAACGACTACTGCCAAGCCACTAGTAGTGATGGAGTACATGGAAGTGGGCGACCTCCGTGCCTATCTGATCATGTGCAGACCAGAGGTAAGGAATGATCACACACAGTTGTACCCACGTGCACCCACGTCATCACGACGCCGCATGCGCACAGGGTTACATGCACATAAAGCAGCGGTGTAGCTGGTCCCCTGTTCAGGGGGGGGGGGGGGAGGGGTGCACGGCCGCATACATGTATATGTAGGATGGCCGGTGCATGTCATTCATGGTCAGTATGTGCATGCTGAACCAAGGTGGAAAATTTGGGGGGGGTACATGTGTCCGCCCTCCCCCTATGCGGGCTACGCGCCTGCACAGGTACGCTCCAAAAGGCACAGAACAAAGTTTGAGGAGCTTGTTGCAACTCCGAAAAATAGTGTTCCACTGGACCATGCTCAGCTCTCTTTGCTACCGAAAGGGAACCTCTTCAAAGATACGCGTGTATATTGTGCCTCAGATGCTCTGCAAACACTGATCCCGGCTTTGGTCTCGGTTGGCGTCCATTTCCCACCCTTTGCCACCACTGCACCCGCACACAGCAGCGCGGCGGAAATCACTCACAAGTGTTGTAATCCAAACACGCATAAGAAGAAATTTGCGTTGACATGAACGAAAACACCTGGCAGGAGAATAGTGTCTTGTACAGGACATTTACTTTGCATTATTAGCCCGAAAATCTGAAAACAGGGAACCATTCCCTGGTTGTACTGAAGCATTCGTGTTAAGACTTAGCTGGTTCAACCCGGTATATCAACCGTCTTCGCATTGATGACTACAAAGAGAATCATAACCACGAACCGTACATTAAAGCCGAAGTTCATTAGTCTGAGAGAGAGATGCCAATGGGAACAGTATGAAGAAAAAAATGGCTATTACCACCAGGACTCGAACTGTCTTCATTGAGTTACTCTACCATTCTGTCTTCCTTCTCATTGTTTTCTCCCAACCCTCCATCCCTGTAACAGAATAACATATTCACGACCTTGTCATTGAGCATTTGTGCTCGTTTGGATTTGCGAATTCGAATAATGTATACAAACAAACTGGGGACCTTTGCTTGAGGCCAGCATGCTCTTTAAAATGCTTGCTACTTGAGTCCTTACTGGGAATCTCCGGAAAGCCAAACAATAACTACTGCAAGTCTGCAAATCTTCAGCCCATTCGAATTTCGGCCTTCCAGGGCTAAAACGCATTTTGGCCGCATTGAATCTTCGGCTTTTACTGCTGCTGCCTGTATTCACTGTCACACTGAACCTTGAAAAGCAAAATTCCGGCCGAAACAAATCTTCGACCAAATATGCCCAGGCCGAAAAAAACCGAAAATAAATATGCGCCGAATATTTGTTGACTTACAATATGTAACGTGTATTGCGGAGAATCTGTTTGAGTCCTTCCATTGTACCACTGGCTGGCACACTTTCATTGCCAAAGTAGCATTTCATGTTCGTGATTAACAAGAATTTTTTGACTGCCGTTAACCCTGGGTTTCTGCTGGCAATTTGTCACCATCAGGAGCAGCAGTTCTTCAACAGGGCAGCCTCCTCCGCGCATGACGTGCCGTCCGTGGAACTGTTTGCAACGTGGGCTACGCAACTAGCAAGAGGGATGGTTCACCTCAATGAGAAGCACTTTGTGCATCGGTAGGTAGTAGCCTAGCATACATTGTATATGAGACAATTGATGTTACGACTACTTTGTTGTCGTTCCCTAGTGATCACTCTGAGCTTTAAAAGCCTGTTCCGATGCTTGCGTTTGGATGCTGTAAATCTTACCAAGCTTCGAACTGCATTGAAGGGGTGTAGCTGGTCCCTTTTAGGGGTGGGGGGGGGGGGGAGGGGGGGGCACAGCCGCACATGTGTAGGATGGCTGGTGCATGCTATTCATAGTCATTATGTGCATGCAGAACCTATTGAATTTTGGGGGGGGGGGGGGGTGCACGTGCCCCATGCGGGCTAGGAACCTGTGCATGCCATTTGAGCTGCCAGTTGACGTTAACCTGAAGCACATCTTCAATCCAACTCTCTGATCTTCTAAGTCCTAGGCCATATCATTGGATAGGGTCAGAGTGGTATTGATTCTAGGCTTACTTGCTTCTTCTTGCCGTGCAGGGACCTAGCTGCTCGCAACTGCATGTTGGCATCCGACTTAAGCCTAAAGATCGGAGGTAAACAATGTGCTGCTGTGGCTGAATGTGACCATGCCTGAGTTCAGTGAAGAGCCAGGAAGACCTTGGCAAAGTGATATTGGTATAACGCAGTTAGCGGTACCATTCGGCCTTTCAAGAATAGAGTGATATTGATCCAATCATAATGAACTTTCCTATTAGACTGTGCACTCTCTATCCTTAATGACTGTATACATGTACATATCAAGTAGCTCTTCCAGGGCAACACCATGGACATGAACATTAATTTTATTCCCGTGGCTATGCCCAACACTGCACGAATAGTAGCGTTCACCCGTGAAATACGACCGAGAACCAGCTTCGCAAAATGATCATTATGACGATGGCAGGCATAGAGAAGGGAGCTGCGCTAGCTCTCTTGTTGCACAACATGTAATAGTTATGTGTCTGCTGAGAGGATTTTCATAGAGCATGCTGCGCACAGCACACTTGAACAGTGTGCACTCTGTCCAAGCGAATGCTAAATGTTTTTTTAGTCCTGTCCCCTGTGAGATCTATTCACTATCCTCTGCCTTGCCCGCTAGATTTTGGCTTGACACGGGACATCTACGAATCGGACTACTACCGCAAACTTGGACGAGGTATGTTATACTGTCTACACCATATTTATCAACCATAAGTACAGCTGCAGTGGTGTCTTCAACTTCATTTTACACAGGTGCAAGGCATTGTAAAACACAAGTTGAAAAATTACCTTTATTTCCTTTGCAGAGAGTAAAAGAAACATTTATAGTTATGCGCAACCCAGTTTAAGACCCAAACGTTTTTGTTCCCTTTACTTCAAAAGGTTTTTCTCAAGGTTTGGAGACTCCACTGTAGCCAATACTTGATGATGGGCCTTGCCCGAAAATTTGAGCAATGTATATCAATTGCAGTGTAGCCTAGAGACCGTTAGAGAGAGAGTGTGTACAAGGTGTGTGTACAGGATATATGGATACTTGAAAAGGTAGGTATAGTATTCTAGTTTACTACATCAAATGAACATTCAAGAATGCCTTTCCACCACAGACCATTAGCCTGGCTCCTACAAGAGATGAAGAGTTTTATGAATAACGAGTTATCGTACTTTCCGGAGTATAAGCCGCACCCAGATATTTGTTCACGAAATACACACAGCTACCCTGTTTATCACCATTAATTTGACCATCGAAACATAACCCGCACCGACTTTCTTGGGTGAATTACTGTTCTTTGAAGTGCGGCCTATACTCTGTACAATATGGTAGGCACAAACAGAAAAGAAGGAAACAAAATTTAGATTAGATCCGAACAGAGAAGACAAACAAGCACAAGACAATTATTTGGAGTTCAGAATGTAGTCAAGAGTTTCAAAATTGGATTTAAGACTTGCTGTGCTTGACCATATTTGTGTGCAAAGGTGCCCTGCCTGTGCGCTGGATGGGACCGGAGAGTCTTCGTGATGGTGTGTATGTCACAGCTTCAGACGTTTGGTGAGTTTCACGGTCCTCTGATGTAGGCATGCGTTGCATCTCTATGACTGTGTTGGAAGAGGCCAAGCAGTCGACAAATTCAGGCCTGGAGCCAGTTCCTGAATGTTAAATCAGTGCCCTATGCCCAATTTCAGTTTCATAGCCAGACATGTTGGGAATGGCCAATTTATACTTCAACATAGCATAAACCATTGCACAATGGAAATTCCATAAACGCTGGAATTACTAAAATCTGGTACAACCATGGCCATACGACTACATGTATCTGCCATATCAATGGTGCCTGCCCTGCTGCCATTTCCACCGCTTGAACCAGAGCCGTGTCTTAAAACAAACTACCTTTTGCACTGAAATGAAGTGCTAGCCACATGGATAAGACGGAAACAGAAGTGGTTAGCACAGCACGGAAGACAGGTTGTTCCCCCTGTGTTATTATCATCATTTCAGCACAATGCATATGCCCTCTTTGATCCAGACCGCACCATAACCACTTAGCAGCATGAGTCCTAATTGGATCTTGATCTTGTTGAGGATGCATTGGCCTCACCCAACAAAACACATCGACTATTTCTTCCATTTCTACATAAGCCAGATGATAAGGCATGAAAGTATACCTGTACCAGCAAAGACTCTGAGATGATATGAGAAGGAGCGTGAGAATGCAGCAGCTCATGGTTAGGCATGGGGCATGTAGGGGTTACTTATGCTGTGGATCTGAGAATCATCGGGTAGCAAATAATACGCACTCACCATTTTTGTCCGCACGCACACACAGCTGCCACGTTCATCTACTGCTACCATTTTCAGATCCACTGCGTACGTTCACACTACTCGCGTTATGCATAACCGCGAGCTGCAGCAAAAAGGTGTTCAAGATAGTCAAGAGCCTGAAGTGTGCCCTTCTTATCAGTGTTCTAGCATTCTTGTCTCCTGGGAAATAATTTATTTTGCTGCCCGATGTTGTGCTTATCCCACACGCACACACAGCTGCCGCATTCATCTACCCCTGCCATTTTCAGATCCACTGCTGCTAGTGCATACGTTCACGCTACACACGTTATGCATAACCGCGAGCTGCAGCAAAAAGGGGTTCAAGATAGTCAAAATCCTGAAGTGTGCCCTTCTTATCAGTGTTCTAGCATTCTTGTCTCCTGGGAAATAATTTCTTTTGCTGCGCGATGTTGTGCTTATCTGCTGCCCGATGTTGTGCTTATCTGCTGCCCGATGTTGTGCTTAGGTCGTACGGTATTGTTCTGTGGGAGATGGCCACGCTCGGGGATCAGCCGTACCAGGGAAAGAGTCACGAAGAGGTGATAACGTTCGTGAAAAATGGCGGCCACATGGATGCGCCCATCGTGTTGCATCCCTACCCAGACAGCCTGTGAGTGTTGGTCGTGTATGATTTACGTACCGCACAGTACCAGTACAGGTTTGATAATCAGACCTGCTAGGTAGAGCGCATGTGACTCTAGCACATACCAGCAACATACCCTTACACCGATGACGTACATGCATAACCATACATAACCATACATACCATGCATCCTAGTGAAGCAGCGGCGAAGGTCCTACACGAGAAGTCTAAAACATAACAACCACGCACTCACAAGCAAGGAGAGTTCCAAGTTCTTTAACCTGACCGGTTTCTGTGACATGAGTCACTTCATCAGAGGAATGAGGATAAATGACAATATGGAACTCAATCTAACCAGCGAACTGGACAGACAGGCGTTGAGCACTGTCTAGTAATTAGCGCGAAAAAAGAAATTTAGCGATTTTAGCCCGAAAGAAAGCGTGAACAAAACACGGGGTTGCTTGCGAGGCGAAAAAACAAACACGAGGTGGAGTGCAAGGCATGGAGGTAAAAAATACCTATACCCATCGTGAATGTGGTTTCCTAAAACATAAGTTAGCGCGAAAAGAATTTTGCAGGGTGCGTTGAAGGCTGAGGAGGCCAGGGTGATAGTCAGTAACAAAAACTGTGGGGCAAGAGGCAGAAGCTTGCACAGAGCTAGCTGGAGGTATGAGTTGACAGCTAGCTGGGGTATCACTGAACGCATCGTGGAGAAACCTAGGAGGGTAACCACGCTTGCGAAGCCTGGTCCAGAAAGCATCACGTATAGCGAGCAGGGAGGTGATCTCACTGTTTGTGTGGTTATAGCGCAGCAATTCAGCTCTAATAAAAGCTCTGAAACATGAGCGGGGGTGGTCGGACGTAAATGGGATGTACAAATAAGCGTTCCTGGGCTTTTGGAAAGTACTGAATGTGAATGTGGATTTATCATTAATAGAGATGATCAAATCAAGAAACTCAATACTTTTACAGGGGTCTGACCACGTAAGTCTGATGGCGTCAAGCTTTGCGTACATGTGCCGTTTGACGGCAGGCAGATTGCTCAGTCTTTTGATGATTAGGAGAAGATCATCAACGTATCGACCGAAGAACTTTATGGTGTTACGGAAGACTGAGAGTGATGTACGCTCATGGACGAAGAGGAAAATATTTGCAACATTAGCCGCCATGGGTGTACCCATGGCCATGCCATTCTGTTGGTGATACACCAAACCATCATGCTCGAAAAAATTATTTCTTAGCACAAAAGAAGAAAGATCAATGAGCAAGTCTTTCATGGGGTGATTATTTTCGTCGAGGAACACGTGCAGGGCATTGGTCGTGTCTTTCCACGACATACATGTGTAAAGACTTTCGACGTCTGCAGTCAAAAGGGAGCAGTCACTCAAGTCAGCGTTCGACGGAGTGATCAAACTCTTTACAACATCGTTAGTAGAAGTAAACACAGTGCTTGCTGATTTCATGAGACTCTTTATGGTAGTCGACATAGCGAGAGGCTGGGGTTGTGCAGTAGCCCTGACACGACACAATGGGCCTGCCTTTAACTCCACAGGGCCCAAGGGGCTTGTGGATTTTGGGAATGAGCCGAAACTTGGCTGGCTTGAAAGGGAAATTCGCAAGTAGGGCTTTTGCGTCTCGCCTGGTGACATTATGGCTGGGAATGATCCTGGTTAGCTCCGTTTCGATGGCCTCGACTTCTGGATTGAGGGCAGTGTCCCGGCCAACGGGGCAAACAATGCGGTATGTTGAGGTGTCCGCGAGCTGTCGGGCGGCTTCGGCGGCAAATTCATCGGAATTCGGGATAGCTGTACCCAGATTTTTGTCTGCGTCACGGACAATGATACGTGGATCCTGTCGCAGTGACAGAACAATATCCTGCTGGGCTCTGGTGGTGTTTCGACGTCGTGGCTTGCAGGCTTCGCGCAAGGCGGTCGCCTCCGACCGGAGCTCAAATAGTGAAGCAGCGGCGAAGGTCCTACACGAGAAGTCTAAAACATAACAACCACGCACTCACAAGCAAGGAGAGTTCCAAGTTCTTTAACCTGACCGGTTTCTGTGACATGAGTCACTTCATCAGAGGAATGAGGATAAATGACAATATGGAACTCAATATAACCAGCGAACTGGACAGACAGGCGTTGAGCACTGTCGAATAATTAGCGCGAAAAGCAATTTAGCGATTTTAGCGCGAAAGAAGGCGTGAACAAAACACGGGGTTGCTCGCGAGGCGAAAAAACAAACACGAGTTTGAGTGCAAGGCATGGAGGTAAGAAATACCTATACCCATCGTGAATGTGGTTTCCTAAAACATAAGTTAGCGCGAAAAGAATTTTGCAGGGTGCGTTGAAGGCTGAGGAGGCCAGGGTGATAGTCAGTAACAAAAACTGTGGGGCAAGAGGCAGAAGCTTGCACAGAGCTAGCTGGAGGTATGAGTTGACAGCTAGCTGGGGTATCACTGAACGCATCGTGGAGAAACCTAGGAGGGTAACCACGCTTGCGAAGCGATCCAGAAAGCATCACGTATAGCGAGCAGGGAGGTGATCTCACTGTTTGTGTGGTTATAGCGCAGCAATTCAGCTTTCATAAAAGCTCTGAAACATGAGCGGGGGTGGTCGGACGTATATAACCATAACCATACAGAACCATGCATACCATGCACCCATGCATACCCCATGCATTCCATACCAGTCATGCATTCCCCTGCATTACAGTGCATGACCATGCAATCATGCATATTATCAAGAGTAGATAAACAAGAGTGTGCAACTCGCGGGTGGGTTGGCCCACGGCGGAATTTTTTGTTGACATAATCTTTTCGACGACGCACGCGCTGCGAGCCTTTTGGAGAGTTTTCCCTCGTGCACTTGGCTCGGCTTTACACTACAAGGTCGGTGCCCAGCACGTGCTCTCACACTGCTCTGCGGCAAAGCCGCGTTTCTCTGAAAAAAGGTGACGTAAACAAAAAATTCCGCCGTGCGGGGTATCTGCAGATTGTGTAGGAGAGATCCGGAGTTGCACACTCTTGTTTATCTACTCTTGATATTATCATGCATATCCCTGCATTACAGTGCATAACCATGCCATCATGCATATTGTCATGCATTCCCATGCATCCATGCATCGCCGATACCCCTGCAACACAAACATGTATGTTCGCGGATGGAGCCTCTAAAAATTGAGCTTTTATTCAAAACATGCTGTATGAAGAAGCACAGAATACTTCGCAAGGGCACAACATTTTATCAGGAAAGCTACCAGTGTAGCAGTAACCAACTACTGAAAAAAAGATCCTCGATGCACTGTACTGTGGGCCCAGTACATACTTGTGAGGATAGTGGACAAGCAAGTGCAGACCTTTTGGAAGCAAGATATAATTGGCCACTACGAACGGGCGAACTGAACTGGAGATTTGCGTGCTCTCCCAGAAAGGAAAGAGACGCAAATTTGAGTATTCGGGGTATATGCTGCACTGGTTTTGAACATCATCAGCATGCATGCCAGATTTTGTCTGTACTGGTCGTCTTTCATCAGGTAGTTCCCCCTTTCTCGCGCTCTCTCGCTCTCCCTTTCTCTCTCACTCACTCACTCACTCACTCTCTCTCTCTCTCTCTCTCTCTCTCTCTTTCTCTCCCCCTCTCCCCTCTTTCTCGGACTGGTCTGCACACTTTTGTAAAATTGTATGTGTGTGTTTATGTGTGCTCTAATAATGCAAGGTATGAAGTCATGCAGAAGTGCTGGGCGTTTGTTCCCGCCGACAGGCCTGGGTTTGAAGTGATACTGGAGATGCTGGAAGACAAGAGTAACGAAGCGCAACAACGCCCGGTTTCAGTTGAAGTGTGAACTCCATACTGATAGCTCCTTTCACCGAAAATGTCAGAAGTATCCCTGTGAAAATGCAGCAAATATCTCGTTTCATTGCTGCTTGAGAGCAGAATTTCAACTGTCATTTAAGATTTTCCCACTTTTATATTTCCCTTGAGGACAAAGCATCTATGCCTGCTGACTTGTGTGTTTGGCACACAACGTTGTGGGCTACCATTGCCCGGTCCCTGCGAATGCACACAATAACATTATTTATTAAACTGATACTTTTAAATTGCTATCTGATACGCCACACAGGAAAACAAAACAGTTTCAGACTTAGTGCATGTATATTAGTTTCGTGACACATTTAATTCTGCACCTTTGCACCAGATTCAAAGCACATTGTGGGGCAATGTTAATTGAGCCTACACAACTACGAGTCGTACATGTACTTTTGTGAAAATTCACCTCACTTTTTGAATCTCTATCAGACTAAAATCGCTTCACAATTCCTCTAATTTTTGCCCAGAGTAAAGCGCTTCCACATTGCATCATCGTGTTGACCAATGTCAAACGGAGGATACGTGCTCAATCTGTGGAGAACAGACTACAACAGATGTAGTACTGTTCATACTACATGTACCAGCTCCCAGGCTTATCTAATCTCGCTACTACATGCTCATAGTAACTGTTTGCACTTACATGTGCATTTTAATAATAGCTGTTTTAAAAACGGGTTTGAGCGAGATTTTTGGCTTGATTTACACTTCAATAAGCTACATGTATACGGTATTTCAACCTCTTCTAATTGTCTGCAAACTCCAACGCAGCCACTTACACATTAAGCAAACTTCATTTCTCAACTCCAAAAACGGTCTCTTCACTGCGATTCAAACTAAAGTTAAAGATTCACATAATCATTACACCAAATTTTCGGGCCCAGCCCAGCATCAGGGTAATGAATTCCACCTCCACCACATGAATCATTGATGAGACTTTTAAATGGTCGAACCAGCGCTGTATGGGGGGGGGGGGGGTGGGGATTTTGTCAGTATCTTCAACTACTTGGAGTCATGTTCTGTGTTGCTGGTATGATGAGGTCGCAGGTCGGGGCCAGTGAGAGCATTACATGTGGTGGAGGTGGAATTACTTTATGGACAAACAGGCCGAAAGCTGCTGCTTTGCTGCTTACCCTTGGCTTTAGTACCATTTATACTTTGTCATGTACCTCTTAGTCTTTTGTATAACTGCGGCGCATGGGGGCTCACGGCAGCACAAGCAGAATCGCTTAACGTTTTCCACCGGAAGCAGCTCCGACGGCTCATTGGCATAGTCTACCCAGCCAGGATGTCAAATACTGAGCTGTATGAGAGGTGCAACACGGAACCACTATCTGACATCGTGGACAGGAGAAGATGGCAGCTAACCGGCCATATTCTCCGTATGGACAGGGATGCGCCGCCATGGATCGCGCTGACGGGCTATTTTGCGGGAGATGCCAAGGCTGGGCGTGGACGTCCAAGGACATCCATTGCGACGCGCATCACAAGCGACTTACAGAGGAGGAACATCGACTTGAAGCGCAGCAGTCAGCTGGGGAATGTGAGGGCCATCGCTCTGGACAAGCTTACATGGAGAAATCTGGCCGACAATCCATGATCTGGCGTCACAGGTCATCAGTGCGCCGTGTTAATAATTACCTTGATAATGGAATTTGATCATAGGAGATAGGACAGAAGCGGAACGTATAATTATACCCACATAATTATATTATTACGCGTGCTGTGGTATTATTATTATTATTATTCTTAGTCTTACAGAACAGAACAACAAGGACAATCAAGGCTTGTTGTTTGCTGCTACACTCTGCCTCCGCGGTGTTGAGCACTGTCACGTGTCAGCACACAGCGGCACCGGCCGGGTACATCCTCCGGTACGCGGTGTACCAAAAACCAATCTGGATTTATACAAGTCATCATGTATACATGTATGTACAAGTGGATTTACTAGGAAGCCTGATCATGGCAGATGCATGCATGCCAAGTCCACGACTTGGGTCAGTATGGCCTGATGATGAAAAGACGTAGTCCATCGGCCAAATCTCAGAAAGGGCCTCTTTCGGCGAAGGTGATGCACTGAAGCTCCAACTAAACGCCCTTTGGCACACTAGCTCATGAGACCCCACAGAATACGAATCCGTTTGTTGGACGTTGCCAATCCAGTCCAGGATAGTCGAACTGGGTCGAGTACCTTCTTCCGATTTTCGTAATTTCGTCCACCATTACATCTTTCTCATCGACTTTTTTTCGCTTGGCGAATGTTCTTGAGCCGCTGAGCAGAATCTGCGCACGCTCGAACACTTGAAATGCCTGCATGTTGACGGTTCGCAAGATTCTAGCGAGCTTGGTGGAAATCTATTATTTATTTTGACATTTTTGGGGGAATCTGAATTAGAACGGTAGAAGCTCATTCGGAGAAGACGGCGTGTCGCCGCTGTCGGATTGTCGCTACTGTGTTTCAGACGTATTTGCTTGACCGTGCTATTGAGGATGGACAGAAGATGAAGTGACGGCTTTCTTGAACACGGACGTTTTGTCTACATTGTAGCTGAAACATCTCATCTGGCGTCTAGAACGCAATTATTATGAGTTGTGAGTGCCAGCTGAGCTGAACACAAGCTGGACACCATTCGTCAGCTGGGAATTTGCATCGAAGCTCTTGATAGCCACGATAAGCATAATTATACAGAGGTAACCTTGTTTGACTCAATACGCATGCAGGTGATACCACTAGTGGCACTACAATGTAAATGGTGCAAAATTGATGCAACAGCGAATATGTACTTCGTACAATCACGAACAATTGTAACGCAAGTGTTCATGCCTGTCATAGAAGAATTTCAGCCCGGAAGTCTTGTTGTCATGGTCATAAATAATACAGGACTTGAGTTGGCTCTGGACATAAACACACTTGTGGTGAATACGGTCATTATTGCGAGAAAAATATTTAGCCATTGTATGTTAACGCCTGATGCCGCACTACAAGCAATATTTCATGTACATGTATGTGAGACTCAATAGACCAATCCCGAAAAGATTGTCTGGGTTCGTGAAAGGGGGCACGCGTGCAAGCCAGCACGTGTGAAGTGCATCGTTTTGTATTCAGTTTGTGTGTGACAGCTCATGGCGGAGGAGAGAGAGACTTTTGCTCGCCGAGCTGAAGCTAAAGGATTTGATGGAGTCCTGCCAGCAGCTAGTCAAAGGACCTTCGGTACCTTAGGCAGACCCTGACGGAGTTTGGAGGCCAGATAGCTCTCGGTGAGGAGAGAAACATTCGCGTGGCGATCGACTCTCCGTAAAAAATGCAAGCTACATAGCGCCGACATACTGCAACAGCTACGATTTCAGCTAACTAACACGTTACTTCTCGATCTGCTGCTTCACAAAGTTCAACTATTTACAAGTCCTGACTGTTGTAGTCTGAAGCTGGAGTCTCATCGCCCACCTACAGGTAGCGTTTGGAGCTGATGGATTTCCCGACTTGGACTCCTTCCGCAAACTCTCGCAACATAATCATTACTACAGTGTATGCTGTGTTTCCGCACGCTCGTGTCGACATGTCACCTATACTGTACATGTACCGGGTCGCGGAGGAGCCTGACGACCTCCGCTGACTCCAGGTTTCCGAAATACTGCCGTCGTCTTCGTTGATGTCGCTGGTGACATTCTCCCCTTGCAGGACGTGCGCATAGTTGTCGTCCCGGGGGTAAAGACTATGTTGTCTTTCGAACTAGTTCTTCATCACGCTCGCGCGAATGATGTTTCTCATCATGAACTCGTTCCGACGGTGTGACACGGCGATGGTCTTTGGCGGGGCACTGGCTTGGCGAAAACGATATCTTCTTGTGCAATATAACATTGATCGGCTGCAGATGAGTACAGTCACTTCGTGGTTGGTCCTACAGGAGGGCAGCTGCCAGGAAAGAGGCAGGATTCATCGAAGACGAAGCGCTCGCAACAAACAATAACACTCGAAATATCTCGTAAGATTTAGGGCCTATCGCTTTGAGCCACAGCGCTCACAGCCTTGCCTACTTCATCAAAGTGAGCTCTACATGTTCGTTGACCTCTTCACACTACACAGAAGAGCGAAACAAGGATTATGTCTTAGCATTTCAACTCCAACAGCAGACCATTACCAGTGCGAGAGAAAAAACTACAAAGGGCTTCGCTTTCTGTCGCATCGTCTCTCTTGCATGCAACTAACGAGAAAATCGTGTACTTACCCTCGCATTCACACGCGAACTATCAAACACGTCCTGTGCCGCATGCTGATCAGGTAGTGCCATGTATGTGTTGTACAGTGTACTCTCAGTTGACATGCCCCCTTTCGAACCCAGACAATCTTTTCGGGATTGGTCTATTGCATCCACAAGGCCGTAGATGCATGTAAGCACACAATGCTGTACAGTATAAGTAGTAGTCGACATGTGGTGCCTTCCTGCTGCACATGCGGCAAGTTGGCAACGACACATGACTTATCTGCACCGCACAGCGTGAGCTTAGAAAGGAATATTGCACACATAGTGCTATTTGTGTTCCGATATCATTAAGCCGGTATACATGTACTAGTATCCTTATACATGTACCTGGTGACTCGATAGGCGATGCCGACTGTACTAATCTTATCCATATTACCCGATAGGCTATAGCACACTGCGTCAGATCACTATGCAACAAAACAAGAGCTTTGGAGCGAATATACACTGAAGCAAAGTAGGTTTCAACGGTACAGCACTTGTCACGATGAGGGGAGTTACGAGGATGGTTAGGCCGTGACACATAGATGATGATTGTTAATGATTCATGCACGGTGGAAAATAACCACCAATGGCGATGATATTGCTTTCACAACAATGACATCAGTAGGAGCAGTGACACAACTTTACTGCTCCAAGTAGGATTTACAAGCGAGTAAAGGGAGAGCAGACTGGTCTAATAAAGTAATAGCAGACCGGGTCTAAGCAAGGAAGTAATCGGCATCAGAGGTGAGCTTGCACATCAGAAAACAGATGATGATCACCAAACACAGAGAAGTTGGCTATGTGTATGTTTGTGTCACTGTGTGTGCATGTGTGTGTGTGCATGTGTGTTTGTGTGTATGCGCGCACATCTGTGTGTGAGAGAGAGGCAGACGGACAGATAGCATATGGTGGGAGGGATCAAGGTCTGACCTCAGAGTTAAATGCTGACGGTGTGGAATCGGAACAGTGCGAAATCGGGCAGGGTGGTTAATGGCCCACACTGGAGCCGAGTAGGAGCGCCAGTGGTTGAGGGCTAGCACAGGAGTAGCAGCAGCTCCAGCCTAGGAAGATCAGCTTCTGGATGAAAATCTCCCGGACACAGTAGGTACCAAGCTTCACTAGCAGATTGCCGGCAGGGGTGCACGGCGAGCACCCGTACATCCCTCAAGCCACCAGAGCCGCAGTACTTGGACACGATCCAGGTGCTTACCCGCCAACAATGCTGAGAAGGCACTGGAGCCATACAGGAACTTATGATCAAGCATGACCACAGACTTGAAATACAGGGTCCGGCGTTGAATACTGAAACAGCGACGTCTCCTCCACAGAACACCACTCAGCCCCACCATTGCATTATTTTCGCTTTTTCATGATTTTTACAATTGTGTTAGAGCACACAGCACTCGATGCAACATTTACCAGTGACTAAATAACTCCGCGTCTCCGACCATACCTGCAGCGTTCCCGTGAGCCTGTTGGATTTCCGTCAGCCTGTTGAGATTATCTTCATCTCGTCACATGTGAGCCTGTGTGTTTCATCCGTATCGTGGCACAATTACACAGACACGATTTCCAACTCAGGCCGGTTCCGTTGCTCGAAGGGTTGGCGGTAAGAATTGCTACGCCGTCTGTGGCTGCATGGGAACTTGGCGAGTCGTCGTCTTTCTCCATAAATCCTGATCGTCACGCGAACAACAGCCACTATTGCCTAAAAACTACGACACAACAGTATCAAGCTCGCCCCAGCAGAAGGACACGAATGACGAGCGCTAAGACGGAGAAAGAGAGACAGGGTTAGCGAGAGCTGACTAGTGCAGGTACGCTGTCATCTCCTGAGGTGGTGGGCGAAGCAGCGAAGTGAAACGAAGGAAGATAGAACTTATTTGGAGGCATACGGAGGCACCAAAACCTATTGCCTGTCACATACTAAGTGCCATTTAGGGTTGACAGCTGTCAGCTGACAGCCTCAAAAATTTGAAAATCTGCTCAAAAAACTCTCGATCAGAACTCTGCGCACTCTCAAATGGAGCGCACAGTAAAAAACTCGGCGACGAAGAACGCTTCGTATCGACGCCCTGGACTGAATTCGGCACGTCCAACAAACGGAATAGTGTTCTCTGATATATTCTCTACGTGCTGGGTATGGTCGCGTTTAGTTGGAAGCTCAGTGCATCACCACTTTCGATTTTGAGACTTGGCCGATGGACTAACGTTTTATGAAGCGATTCAGCTCAGCTCACAACAGTGACAACACAGCACGCCTTCGGCTTCGCTATCCGAAAAATAAAACAATGCTGATTGCTGTGACCATGGCCTATATGGAAGGCGTTTGTGCATTTACATGATGTATCATAATGATCGATTATGTGCTGGGACTTGCATGATGCATTGTAGAACCGGGGTGCGTGAGTGTGACACAGCTGACAGTATGCAGGTCAATGTCAGTGTCACTGACACACACAGCTGCACAGTGACAGTAAAGTCTGTAAACCAGGGATATATAGGAGTCGTATACGACGCGTATAAAAGACAGTCTAAACCAGGGAGTCATACCACACGACTGACTGTACTCCCTGCCTGGTCTAAACAGTAGCATCGTGGAGTTCAGACTTCAGTTACCACGTTACGTAGATCTACAGCCATACATGATACAGGATGAATCTGTAACTAAGTGTAACACTAGTAGATCTACTAGTACATGTACTGACTGTAGTACTACTACTAGTACTGAGTACTAGTACAGTCATCACAGCCGGCGTGTAGATCTACCTACACTGCTACAGCGCGAGCATAGTTGTGCTCTTGCCCGTGTAGATCTACACCGCGTAGAATGCTAAACATGTCACATGAACAGTTCTAATAGCCTCATCATAATCATCATTGCATGCACAGACAGTCAGTGTCAGTATTAGTCCATCGGCCAAGTCTCAAAATCGAAAGTGGTGATGCACTGAGCTTCCAACTAAACACGACCATACCCAGCACGTAGAGAATATATCAGAGAACACTATTCCGTTTGTTGGACGTGCCGAATTCAGTCCAGGGCGTCGATACGAAGCGTTCTTCGTCGCCGAGTTTTTTACTGTGCGCTCCATTTGAGAGTGCGCAGAGTTCTGATCGAGAGTTTTTTGAGCAGATTTTCAAATTTTTGAGGCTGTCAGCTGACAGCTGTCAACCCTAAATGGCACTTAGTATGTGACAGGCAATAGGTTTTGGTGCCTCCGTATGCCTTCTAATAAGTTCTATCTTCCTTCGTTTCAATTCGCTGCTTCGCCCACCACCTCAGGAGGTGACAGCGTACCTGCACTAGTCAGCTCTCGCTAACCCTGTCTCTCTTTCTCCGTCTTAGCGCTCGTCATTCGTGTCCTTCTGCTGGGGCGAGCTTGATACTGTTGTGTCGTAGTTTTTAGGCAATAGTGGCTGTTGTTCGCGTGACGATCAGGATTTATGGAGAAAGACAACGACTCGCCAAGTTCCCATGCAGCCACAGACGGCGTAGCAATTCTTACCGCCAACCCTTCGAGCAACGGAACCGGCCTGAGTTGGAAATCGTGTCTGTGTAATTGTGCCACGATACGGATGAAACACACAGGCTCACATGTGACGAGATGAAGATAATCTCAACAGGCTGACAGAAATCCAACAGGCTCACGGGAACGCTGCAGTCACGGAGACGCGGAGTTATTTAGTCACTGGTAAATGTTGCATCGAGTGCTGTGTGCTCTAACACAATTGTAAAAATCATGAAAAAGCGAAAATAATGCAATGGTGGGGCTGAGTGGTGTTCTTTGGAGGAGACGTCGCTGTCTCAGTATTCAACGCCGGACCCTGTATTTCAAGTCTGTGGTCATGCTCGATCATAAGTTCCTGTATGGCTCCAGCGCCTTCTCAGCATTGTTGGCGGGTAAGCACCTGGATCGTGTCCAAGTACTGCGGCTCTGGTGGCTTGAGGGATGTACGGGTGCTCGCCGTGCACCCCTGCCGGCAATCTGCTAGTGAAGCTTGGTACCTGCTGTGTCTGGGAGATTTTCATCCAGAAGCTGATCTTCCTAGGCTGGAGCTGCTGCTACTCCTGTGCTAGCCCTCAACAACTGGCGCTCCTACTCGGCTCCAGTGTGGGCCATTAACCACCCTGCCCGATTTCGCACTGTTGCTATTCCACACCGTCAGCATTTAACTCTGAGGTCAGACCTTGATCCCTCCCACCATATGCTATCTGTCTGTCTGCCTCTCTTTCACACACAGATGTGCGCGCATACACACACACACACATGCACACACAGTGACACAAACATACACATAGCCAACTTCTCTGTGTTTGGTGATCATCATCTGTTTTCTGATGTGCAAGCTCACCTCTGATGCCGATTACTTCCTTGCTTAGACCCGGTCTGCTATTAGACCAGTCTGCTCTCCCTTCACTCGCTTGTAAATCCTACTTAGAGCAATAAGGTTGTGTCACTGCTCCTACTGATGTCATTGTTGTGAAAGCAATATGATCGCCATTGGTGGTAATTTTCCACCGTGCATGAATCATTAACAATCATCATCTATGTGTCACGGCCTAACCATCCTCGTAACTCCCCTCATCGTGACTAGTGCTGTACCGTTGAAACCTACTTTGCTTCAGTGTATATTCGCTCCAAAGCTCTTGTTTTGTTGCATAGTGATCTGACGCAGTGTGCTATAGCCTATCGGGTAATATGGATAAGATTAGTACAGTCGGCATCGCCTATCGAGTGACCAGGTACATGTATAAGGATACTAGTACATGTATACCGGCTTAACGATATCGGAACACAAATAGCACTATGTGTGCAATATTCCTTTCTAAGCTCACGCTGTGCGGTGCAGATAGGTCACGTGTCGTTGCCAACTTGCCGCATGTGCATGTGCAGCAGGAAGACACCACATGTCGACTACTACTTATACTGTACAGCATTGTGTGCTTACATGCATCTACGGCCTTGTGGATGCAATTGAGTCTCACACACATGTACATGAAATATTGCGTGTAGTGCGGCATCAGTTAACATACAGTGGCTAAATATTTTTCTCGCAATAATGACCGTATTCACCACAAGTGTGTTTATGTCCAGAGCCAACTCAAGTCCTGTATTATTTATGACCATGACAACAAGACTTCCGGGCTGAAATTCTTCTATGACAGGCATGAACACTTGCGTTACAATTGTTCGTGATTGTACGAAGTACATATTCGCTGTTGCATCAATTTTGCACCATTTACATTGTAGTGCCACTAGTGGTATCACCTGCATGCGTATTGAGTCAAACAAGGTTACCTCTGTATAATTATGCTTATCGTGGCTATCAAGAGCTTCGATGCAAATTCCCAGCTGACGAATGGTGTCCAGCTTGTGTTCAGCTCAGCTGGCACTCACAACTCATAATAATTGCGTTCTAGACGCCAGATGAGATGTTTCAGCTACAATGTAGACACAACGTCCGTGTTCAAGAAAGCCGTCACTTCATCTTCTGTCCATCCTCAATAGCACGTTCAAGCAAATACATCTGAAACACAGTAGCGACAATCCGACAGCGGCGACACGCCGTCTTCTCCGAATGAGCTTCTACTGTTCTAATTCAGATTCCCCCAAAAATGTCAAAATAAATAATAGATTTCCACCAAGCTCGCTAGAATCTTGCGAACCGTCAACATGCAGGCATTTCAAGTGTTCGAGCGTGCGTAGATTCTGCTCAGCGGCTCAAGAACATTCGCCAAGCGAAAAAAAGTCGATGAGAAAGATGTAATGGTGGACGAAATTACGAAAATCGGAAGAAGGTATTCGACCCAGTTCGACTATCCTGGACTGGATTGGCAACGTCCAACAAACGGATTCGTATTCTATGGGGTCTCATGAGCTAGTGTGCCAAAGGGCGTTTAGTTGGAGCTTCAGTGCATCACCTTCGCCGAAAGAGGCCCTTTCTGAGATTTGGCCGATGGACTATATACACTCTACACCGACGTCCGTCTACGTTCCAAATAAAAAAATTAATAAAATACAATGCCAATGACCCGTATACGCGTACCGTGTCTCCGTCTGGATCTCGAGTGGATGAAGCGGAAAGAAAACATAGCCATTGCCAGAAATTTCAGAATGTTGTGGCCAGCAAACATTGCTGGTTTAGTCGGTCTGTGACGGCATAGCTAGCTGCGGTTCTGGACTGGTCTTCATGCTAGGGATTTTCAGAAAAATTGCTCCGTTTATGCTGTTGCTCAGCTTTCAAGACAAGAGTTCCAGGCCCGCGTAAAGATCTTTGTATTCTTCGCCAACACAGGGACGGTAGGAAAATGTTAGCTCAACTCTCAGCTGTTCGTCGACTGTTGGTTGTGAGCGCCGTGGCGTGCTCTGTGTGCGCCGCACAGCTCCAGCCGTTCGGAAAGGCCGGCGACGTCGCGATAGGAGCACTTCTTCCGCTCCACTCTGGCCCTGGATGCTCGGGCATCACTGCCTCCAGGCCCACGAGCTTGCTGTTCGTCGAGCCGCTCATTTCCCAACTCCGGGCGAGAAATTTCCGCCTGGAAGCGAGCAGCAAGGGCTGCCGGAATGGCTCGGACGTGAGTAATTCTTCTGATTGTGTTCGCGTGTCGTTCTCGTTGGGCTACGAGTTCGCGGACACATACCTGAGCAGCAGCAAACACGCCGTCAATGGCCTCTTGTCCATGCTGAGAGCCACTTGTCCCGCTGACGGCAGCGACTGTCCGGGAAGTCGACTCGGCGACAGTACCGTGGCCGCCGTGGTCGGACCACTGTGGAACACTCCCACGTTTGTCGCAGCACCAGTGGCCAGTGCCTACAGGACGCCTATGATAGGCCTACTGGCTAGCAGTGATAGATATCGATGTGACCTCAACAACGAAGGCACCATCAAGGATACGACGTGCGTGCAGGACTTCGAGTACATGTTCCGGATGGTTGCGTCCGACATCTTCGGAATTATTGCCATCGGTCGTATCATCGAGGCGCTGGATGTATCGTATGTGGGTGTTGTTAGCTATACCGACGAGTTCCATCGCACGGCGAGGAGATCGCTGCTGCAACTTCTCAACGGCGATACGTTCATTGACGGCATATCTCTGAAAGTCAACCCGAACATGTGCCTGGCGTTTCGCACGGAGTTCAGTGCTACGGATGAGCTGAGGAGATTGGTGGACTGCAGGATGGCGCCGACGAACTGTCAGGAACTGTGCGACCTCTACTCGGGCTCGCCGCCCAGCCAGAGCCTGCGGGATGTGGTGGACGCGCTGAACAAGAATCCCCGGCTGCTGTACATCGTGCTGCTGGCCGCGGACGCCGACTCCAGCCTGCTGATTGACACGCGTGCGTACATGGCCTGCGGTTGCGGTGCACAGCCGAAGGCGGACTGCGATGTGCCGCCACGCCAGGTGACCATCATTGGCAACGAAAAGTGGTTCCTGGGCATAGAGGCCAGGGCTGGCAGCAGGTTTTACCAACGCTGCGCCGGCCTCGGCAATATCATGCGCCCCAGACCCGACTACATGCCCTACCTGAAACAGTTCGGCGAACGGCTGCTGGAAAGCGCACGTGCGGCGATCGGAGACTTCATCATCTCGCCAACTCCAGCCTTCAGTCAACCGGATCCCTACTTGTGCGATGACCTGGAGAAGCTGCTTAGCTTCAAGGGTGTGTGTAATGCTAGTGTGAGCTGCGCAGAGCGAGGGAGCACCTGCGTCGACCGGCAGAGCGTGGCGTCGAGTGCCGGCCCGCAGCTAGGTGGATTTGTACGCGAGCGATACATTTTCTTGGCGTCGGCTGCTCTGCTGACGGCTATGGACAACTTGATGCAGCGGTTTGTCGACAGTAGTGAGGCACGCGCCGGTCAGCACTCTGCAGCTGATTTCCGTCGGTACGCGTACGGTCCAAGGCTTCTGCAAGCGGTGAAGCAAGTTCAAGTGTGCGAGGATGGAACCCTGTTCAACGGCTCCGCCTGCCCCACCGGATCACCGACTCATTTCTTCAAAGTCAACGGCAATGAGGTTGATGCGTCATTTCATCTCTCCTCGTTCGACAAGATGCGCAAGGAGGAGACACTATTTTCTTTTGGCTCGTTTCAGAACATCACTGGCCTGTTGCGTAGCGCGATGCACGATATCAGTTGGAATAGTTCCCTTGTAAGCAACAACCAAACGGTAGAGCCACCAACAGGTGGATGCCATCCAAACTGCATCCCTGGCGAGTTCAAAGTTCAGAATCGCTACACGTGCTGCTTCGAGTGCCAGCAGTGCACGGGCAATACCATCACACAGATGCCTAACCTCCAGAGCTGCACGGAGTGCGAGGAGTTTGAAGTTGCGAACAAAAATCGCAGCGCATGTGTTGCTCTGACACAGCAACCGTACGCGCCCAGTTTCGCTTACGTCTTGATGGCACTGTTGTCGATCACCACGTTTGTCCTTCTCACCACGCTCGTCATCATGATAAAATTCTTCAAGACTCCAATCATCCAGTCGTCGGATAAGTATTTGACGTTTGCTATTCTCGGAATGCTCATAGCCTTGTCGCTCTCGCTGATTGTCTTCACGAGTGACCCACCGACCGTGTCGGCGTGTCGTTTCCGTGTGCTGATGTCCTCACTGCTGACAATCATCAGCACAACGTTGTTCGTCAAGACGTCACGTCTGGCTCGGATTAGCGGCGGAATGTCGCTGCGCCATTCCAAGTTTGTGCGCTGGACGTTCAGCAACGCCGCTCAGGTGGTCTTGGTGGTCGTGCTCAGTAGTATTCCGTTCGGCCTCGACCTGTACAGCGCCTTTGCTGAAGACCATGTGGTGAAGAAGACGATCACGCGAACCGGCTCCGAGCCGTTCCTGATACTCTGGTGTCGGGGCAATACGGCCACGCAGGGAGTGCAGATCGGTGTCGATGTCTTTCTTTCTCTTATCATCATTGCCACGGCCTATGTCGCGTTTCTGACGAGGAAACTACCGGTGAGCTTCAACGAGGCCCGCTTCTTGTTCCTTGCCACGCTGACGAATGCCATGACCTGCTTGCCGCTATCAGCGGCAATATATCTCGTGGAGGAGGCGGCGCTGTACATAGAATCCATGCGCGTGTTCTCCTACATACTGCTGACGTGGCTGTGGCTGTTCGTGCCGCGCCTGTACATAGTGCTGCTGCGGCCCAACCGCAATCGCATCAAGGCGACGTACGGTGCGGACAACTCCAGCATGTCGCAGACGCTGCGCACGTCAACAGTGGCCGCCATGCCTGGACTATTGTCACCGTCGTCGGCACCGCCCAGTGCTCCTCTGTCTCGACGTGTGTCCGCAACGCCGTATGAGTCCACTCAGTTGAAGTTCACCAGCGAGCCGACCCAGAACGGGAACAAAGCCCTAACTGTTGGCGCTGTGAGCAAGGCAATTGGCAATGGTAAGCCTGCTGTTAGTAGTGTAAAGGTCAATGAAGGTATTCACTCTGTCTCTAGTGCCGGTAGTGAAGATCAGCAGTGAAACGTCTCTCGGCCTCTAGGTGCTTATACGTACGTACGTACAGTGCAGTAGTTCCGCGCGTCTGCGCGTGTGTGTCCGTGTGGGTATATGGGTGTGTGCGCCCGCGCGCGTGTGTGTGTGTGTACGTGTATGTGTGTGTGTGTGTGTGTGTATGTGTGTATGTGTGTGTGTTTGAAAACGCTCACGCCAGCATACATAGTACATACCTACATGTATGTGTGAGACTGCATTTTGGTCTGGGGCCAACAATTATAACCACTGACACAATCCCTTGAATGTAGAGAGTATGTACAAGAGAGCAGCTGACGATCGTGTAGACACGTCCTTGGCTTCTGTTGCCCGGTACCTTCTAAGAAATTGAGATATTGAGTACTTCTTGAATATCGGCTGCTGCTTCTTTCTGTAATGCCTAGAAGTTATGCAGCATAGTGTCCCCACTAACGAGAATTACCATCCACTTAGTTGATGTAATGAGTGAAGATCATCTTGCATGCCGCACAAATTGAACTTGATTGCTGAGCCACATAATCTAGTCAGAAATTAGTCATTAATTTTTTTAAATGTAATCTAATACTGTTGGACATTTGTTTTCACCATTACTCACTTTTCCACTGTTTTTGGCCCATGTACCCTAAATATGTGTTACTTGAGTACTGCGTTTTTTGATAATTGTACTGTTCATGGTTCAACTTGTTGCTCTGCCTGCTGAATCATGAGAAATTGCAACTAAGCAATGCCATGACCTAACCGCATCAAGAAATCGATCCGATTCATAGCTGCATCCCACAAAAACCTCTGACACAAGACTATCCGTAACACTAACATCCCCCCCCACACACACACAGTCGAAATGTGCTTTCAGAGTAATTCTATTTTCCAATAACTTATTTGTTGATTGGTGGAAAGAACTGCGGAAGTTTTCCAATGCAGAGCAGGTGCTAAAATTTAATGTTACATCGGAGAGTCAAAAACACGGCGCTCATGCCATCTTGGATAATTTAATATTGATAGTGAGCAACATCGGCTGAGCCATATAGAGCAACATCTGCTGAGCCATATATAGGGATAGATGATATTGAAAATCGGGCGTATTAGACTTGCTAGCAATTTCTTTATGATATAGAGTTGAAGGAGAAGTATATAGGTCTGCATAGAATAGGCAATTCCGAAACGTATTATACTGAGGAGAGGGTTCACGTCTTTGCGCGAGGACGGCCTATGCTCAAGATCAGGTTGAATACCGGGGGAAATTACAGCATTTTTGGGATATACCGTCATAAAAAAAGCCATGGGGGAAGTTTTCATTATAAAGCGGAAATGAAACATATTCGACTCAAGGGATAAAAAATTCTTGAAAGATTTCTGCCTCAAGGGGAATGCAGAAAGCAAGTCACTGCAGATACTAAATGGCGCTAGTGTCTTAAATTCTTGAAAGATTTCTGCCTCAAGGGGAATGCAGAAAGCAAGTCACTGCAGATACTAAATGGCGCTAGTGTCTTAGCTGGCCGGCCACTGTCGAATACTGAAGAAAACGCCGTTACCCAGACAGTCATCGGTACGTTTGTTGCATTTCACCAGTCGGCAAGGTTCGACCGGATTCAATGGGTTACGAACACAGGACACACACTGCTCGTAATCACTACCAGCACTATTCTGGAGGCATAGCGAGACATTGGAATTCTGGTAGATGACGGAACCGTCCTTAGACAGTTGTCCAGCTCCTGGTCGCTTACGGATTGTGAACGTACTGCTTGCCGCAGAGCAGTTTCGCGACACCTCGCAGGGGATGTATTTGCAGTCGGCAGACTTTGTCGCTCCCGTCTCGCAATGCAAGATGTGTCCCGGGAACAGGTCCAGAGCATTCTCGATCCGCACTGGATCGCCATCGCTGATGACTGCCGTCGTGCCAATGTCCTTTGCTGGAACGATAGTGAACTTTCCCTGCCGGCAGCCGTTGGGCTCCGAGTCGCACAGGCTGTCGGAGAAGTTCATGCAGGACTTGCGGCGACACGCGGTGGCATCGCAGTACAACCACTTGCGCTTGCGGTAGCGGAATGACACCGTCTGATGGTATTGAACCGGGTAGTCCATTGCATCGCACGGATGCTGAACGGGCACCGGGCAGCCGTAGAGCTTGTTCAGCTGGAGGACATCTCCAACGCTCATCTTCTCGCGCTGTCCCAGCTTACGCTCTGGATCGTCCTTTGCTACGATTGTCTTGAAGTTCTGCTCATCCTTGCTGAACTGGGTACTCGAGTAATGCATTACGCTATCATAGTCATACGGCACGCTGAGGGAGTCCACTTCCCCATGAGAGTATTTGCGAAAGTTCGCCTTATTCATCTCGTAGTCGATGATGTTTTCCGGCTTGATCGTCACGTATCGGTCACGGTCCGGTCTCGACTGCTCGTGATAGAATCCCAGGACGTGCAGCAGCTCGTGTACCACTGAACCGAATGAGTCATAGCAGTCAGGACCGATGAACACCGGAATGATACCAAACTGGCGGCCGACATACGTTGAGCAGTATCTGTGGGCAGGAAAGGGAGAACAGGAGAAGAAAAGATCTCAAGTCCACATGCAACAGAATACTAAGCAGTCACTGGATAGAATCACAGTTGGAAATGGGACTACATTAGAATTAGAATTTACATCAAGATTCTGCACTAAAAAAATCCTAGGCTCACCATGCATCGACTATATGAACAGACCTGTACTACTGGTATATAGATATTGGACAGAGTTGGACTCAGAAATCGGGCTATATTGGAGTTGGAATTTGTTTCCAGCTTCTATTATTATTAATATGGACCCCACCCTCACCATGCACCAAATGTATGAATATAGTAAAATGGCACAGCGTCAATCGATAGCTACTTACGGGTGCTTGGGCGACGTTGGTCGAAACATGATATAGTTGGTGGCGTCCGGGTGACGAGCTCCGACCTCAGCCGCATACTCCTGCTGAGGCCTGAAGCGAATGCAGGACTTCTCGTGAATGTGGCGCATGGCCTTCTCGACCGCCCTGCGAGACTTGAACCAGTGGTTGGGATCTGAACATGTGAAGACAACAATAACCAAAGGAGAAAATGTCACCACACTCCAATAGCACAGGAGCAGGATACCAACACCAGCAGTAGTATGCATTGTGACATAAGTATGTTGCATATAATATTTGTATTGTGTTGCTCTACATCATTTTCACTTCTGACATTTTCGGGAGAGAGATAGGAATGTAAACATTGGATTCTTTCCCAGGCCTCCTCCAAGCCTGGACTATTTTAGGCTGATGTGAGAGCACTTGTGAACCTTCCTGATGACAGCCTGTGTTATGATATTTATCTGATGATAGCATTCCAATACGATTGACAGGCAACAGAGCAAGCGGAGGATAGAGCAATGGGATTTACCTTCTGCCCAGTTTTCCTCAAACTTGAATGGAACAATTCCGCCCGGCCAAAGCAGAGACTTGGACTTGGTCAGTCCACGGCGAGTTCTTTCTCCTTGTGCTACGCCATCTGCTGTAGGTCGTTGTCCAAAGAGAATCTCTTCTAGGCCAGGCACCTTCTCGCTTTCTACCTCCTCGATCCCTCCGACTGAATCATCCTCACCACTGGCATCATCACTGGCCTCTCTCAGCAGGTTGCGTAACGATTCCGATGGGATGATGTCTCCTTCAATCAGCTCCTGCTCTGCAGACTCTTCTTGTAGCAGTTCCGTGCTGTCTACTGTTGGTATAATTGATGTTGCTATGGTTGGAATGCTCCGCACAAGAGACTCCCCTGTGAAACGGCAAGAATTCAAAACAGACCATGATTTAGTGATCAACAGATTATTATTTTCTCACCATGCAAAGCTATTATACAGCGGTGAGGAATTCATGTTTACGCCAGGAGTAAACAAACAAGGCTAGAGGACGTGTCATGAGCGTTCGGACACTGCATCATATTCGGAAATCCTCCTAGGACTTCTGCCCGTGCAGATCAGTGTTCTCACAACTTCTCAACACGCCACAGACTATCATCATCTACAGCGGCAGTAAACAAAGGCTAAGCGATGTGAGAGGAACGACAACAAAAAACTGGGATCTCCATGAGAACCAGTATCTCTAACTTCGCCAAACAACAAGCTGACAGCGCACCATGAGAATAAAATCTAATCGCACAACAGCATCTCATTCATTCACCAACACCGCGACCAGCCAGAGCCCTTGCCAAGTCTAATGGGATTTTCCCCCACAGCTACTCTTCAAGCAGTCTGGCATGCCTGCGGGAGTCACATGACCCACTCGTTGAAGGGTGGTCGCGTTGCTAGCGCTGTCGCCATAGGGGATCTACAGCAGTACAGGTCAAGATTCCTCCATTCCCACGCTCCTGTCTGCAGTTGACTTGCAGCAATCGTGATCCCAGACTATAGCTGGACAATGAACTTTGTTATGTCTTCTACGAACAAATGGGCTTGTCTATCGGTACACACCTCTGTCTGGAGAGCTCAGTAACTTTTTTGATAGTTATCACAATGCCATAGAAACATTAAAAAAGTTCTTTGGGTAAAAGTCACTCCAGACGGGCAACTCTAACTGGACTCGCATTGGCCTGATCGTGCGAAGTAATTTCATCCGTTCGTTAAATTCCAAAATAGAACGAACCGTGTTTTGACTTCGCGGTGATCTACAAATTGCGCCAGCACTGCTGAAGACCTTGCTGCGCAGTTGTGCAGACCCCTTCAGCGATGGCCGTGCTGGAGGCACAAGACTTCTTCGCCGTCGCATGCGAAGGACCCCGCATCGATCTCTGCGTGTGGTGCTATTTTCTCACGGCTTGCACGACCCTGGCACAGTGTGCACATCAGGCGCTTGTCCGAGACTGGCTCGAGTTGTCCAAACGGGTTGACACGACTTGTCCGCAAACGGACAGTGTTCTCGACAGCGGTGATGTAACCAGAAAAGCGCCCTCGGTCTCGCTGCCCGTCATGGCCAGGCTGACATTTACATTGCGCAAGATACACATTGCATGTTCTCTACCAGTTCGGAACTGTGACGGAGACAGAATCCACCCAAGTTTGGAATCCGGCATCTGTATCACGTTATCAAGCCCTTCCAGGTACACACGGACAGCAAACATGTTCACGTGTATCAAATTCAAACACAAAACACACTTCCACCCCTTCCCACCCGTCTGGACAATTTCCTCCCCGCAGTGCAAACACACGACACGGACTCAACACGAAATTGCCCTTACCGTGTGGCACGCTGGCCTCTTCCGTCCGCACGCTTTCCAGAAAACTCCTCGCAGCTGCATGGGGTAGGACTGCTACGCAGACCAGAACAAGACACGCTAGTGCCGTCCGCTGGCTCGACACTACTACAGCCATCTTTCACTAAACTGCTGCAAGAGAAAGAAGAAAATAGGGCCACACACAACAAAACAAGACCAGAGTCAAAGACGAATGAAAACTCTCTTCCGAGCAGCCGGCGCAGAAATAAGGGTCTGTCTCGCACAGAGGGCCCTGCGGCGTGAAAACACAGTCACAACACATTGTCACTGGGTCAGGGACCAGACCACGCCACCAACTCTCACCTTCTGCCCGTCTTTTGCGTGATACCACAGGCACAGTAGTTATGATTTATCCGCAGGGTCCTATACACATCAGTTAGTTACTGCAAAATCCCGCTGTGCTGAGCCAGTGTGAACAGGTCGGACCGCACCTCCCTTTTGACATTACCCTTTCGAATCTGTCTGGTTTTATACTAAAAAATAAATGCCTGAGTGACGGACCATCACGCGGGCTGCTGCTAGCTGACTGCGAGAGACGCACGCGTTGCAGAGATCATGATCGCGGAGTATGGGAGTAGAGCTTGATATGACACCGAAAATGACGCATCTTCGGGGCCAAGTGGACAGCGTGCATGTCATGCTTGCACGCAACACTGCACTGCTCAGTATGAAAATGAGCACTGGGCCCTAGCTATTCTGGATCGTTCAATCCGATCTGTGCGCGCGAGATATGACAGACCTGGTACATGGGCGCAGCGCATGCATTGACAAATACTTCCATCAAGCGATGAATCATTTTCAACAAATCGGTAAACCCCCAAAAACAACATTCCGCATGCGTAGATCTACGGAGCACTCGCTCGGCAGAGGGTCCCAAAAACCAACATCGGAAATATTTGGCGAGTGTCATGTGGTTGATCCACGGGAGGTATGATTAATCAGCCAGCAGCCGCTAGCCCCATCGTATACCCTCGGAAATGACCTCTCTCTATTACAAGTATGTACAGTTCATAATCACCCACACTCTCTCGTGTCGCTTGGCACAGTGAATACGGCCAGGAACTACAGACTAGCACAGTCTTGTTTCAGTCAGTGATATCTCTTGAACGCTGGACGCACAGAGTGGGCCAGTTCGCAGCTAACTTCGTGTGTTACATTAGCGTTTCTAAAGGACGCGTATTCCGAGACTCGAGAGGCACTCGAGAAGGCCTCACCGGACGAATCCAACAATCAATGCGACAAAGTAGCACAAACAGAAAGCTTCTCTGCAACCAGCTGGTCTTGGACTATCTACACGTCATTGCATCATGGAGGCTGTGAGGCAACACGAAAGCGGCTAAGATAATTGTGGTACACATCACCTGGCCCAACGATCTCTTCATAGCATTAAGCTGCACGAATTCACAGCGATATACCTTTTTCTATTATTGTATTGACATCCATGTACTATACACGTAGGGGTGAGAAAGAGGTTTCAGCTACAAGCTTTAGTCTGCAACTAATAGGACTTTCACGCAGAGAAATGGGGTTAGCGACATTTCTAACCCGGGGTTGATTTATTAACTTTGAAGTTTAGAATTGAACTTTTGACGTTGCCCATTTTCTTGAGTATCTTACACAAATGCAACTAGTTTCCTAGGTGCTTGAAGAGGAACGTGCGGGATTTAAGCTTGCTCTTTAAGCTCTGAGGTTTTGTGGATTTCCGCGTGGGTATACTAAAAGAAGGAGCAGACGAGTGTCACTCAGCTCTTCAAACGGTGCAGGACCGGAGTGAAACGAGACCGGGCCAATTGTTCTGTCGTCTCAGACGAGCAGCATAGACAACTAACAGCGTGTGCTCCGGGACTGGACGCGGGGTTGTATTGTCTCAGCTGAGGTGTGGACAGTAAAGCGTCCATGCTAGCTCTTAGCGAAAAATGCCAGCAGAATTTAGTATTTTTCTGGTACAGTATGTTTCATGCATGTTTGGTATGGATAAAGATGAGGAGCAGAATTCGCCCGTCATAAGCTTGGTATGGTTTTCCAATTCCAGTGCTTTTCGAGCTGAATCTCCTAATATTTCGAGCATTAACCGCCAAGGTCTGGTCCATGGGAGCCAATGTTGCCGACTATCCACTAACGTTACACATGTACATGTACGTTTATCTGCTTGGCGTTGTCTTACAATCGTTCGAACCCAGAGGAGTAGGCCTTTGCGGATAATGCCGGCAGAAAAATTGGCAGAAATCGGTACTTTTTCTGGTAAGTTTCATGCATGTTTGGTATGTGGATAAAGAAATGGAGCAGAATTCGAGGAATTGCTCGCCATAAGGTTTGTATGGTTCTGCCAATTTCACTGCTTTTCGAGCAGAATCTGCCACCTTTTCGAGCAGAATCCGCCAATGCCTACTGAGAGGAGGAGAATTAGGATACTTGGAATTAGGGAAACAAATTCTGGTTAACCGGTTGCAGTCGTAACGCAGACGATCTACAGTGGTTCAGAATTTTGGCACATGGTCCTCTCACACTTGCGGCGGCTATGGGATAACTGGTACACAATTTGCGTAGCATTTACAAGTACAATCATGTACATTGTTATGGCAGAATGAATGGAAAGTGTGCGGGGCTAGGCATTCGCGGATAGACAGTGTCTGTCAACCCACATTCTGTTTTTTACATTGTATTTCATGATTCATGAATACAAAACTGCGTTTCGTCATCCGAGATACATCGTAGATTGCTTTTCCTACATATCTAGCCACTGCCAATGTTCTCTTATGTAGTCTAGGACAAGGTGTGACGTACGTGTACATGTAGAATATAATATTATTGCTAGAATGTGGAACGCAGGGATGGATTGGCATAAAACGCAACCATCACTTTAACCCACCGTGTGAACAACACATACATGAATAATTATGTACACGGTGAATGTACACTGGCTACAAATGAAATCCAACATATTGGTGTAACAGCTCAACGGGCCTGCATAGCCCTGGCACTGCGAGCAGTAGGGCCGTGCAGTGAATGAGAGTCAGCTGTACTCATGGGGTTGGATTTAATGTTCCACTACTGTATGTATTTTTGAACATACAATATGCCAGTGGAACACACACTGGTAAGGGTCCTGGACTCCTGGTACCACGACACGGTGAGGATGAAGATGAAGCAATTAAAACCCTAATACATTGATGACAACCCGTTCATTAGCTGTCTGGCACCGTGTGAACACACTAATCATACGAAATGCATTGCCTAACCCGATAGCATACAGATATCCTGCGGTAGGTCATCTATGCGAGGCACTTGAAAACCTGGGCAACACTTGCGCCAATATTGGCCAAGCACGTTGCACGACAATTGTCCAAGAGTATTCGCGTGTACACCCACTAGAGCCTCGTACAGGTAACAAGCTACAGACTGTACCGTACTGTACCGTACTGTACGTAAATTCTAACACTCAGCCCACTCTGGCCACGCGTACCTCCGATTTGGTGAGAAGTGGGTTTACTTGGCGAAAGGTCCATGGGAATACCGCAGTACTGCAGCCGCGTTTAGGGGACCTGCCAAACCTAGTAAGAACGCAGACGGTGCTCTTTTCTCTGCTGGCAGGGTACCATATTAACCCATTGTCACCTCTCGGATTTGCATTATCTACTAAGGAACGCGTTCCTAAAATGGTCGGGACTATCGTCATGATCGCGCTCCATAACTCACAAAATGTGAGATGATATGGAACCAAAGTTTAGACGTGTTTTCGTGTAGTTTATAGTTCAAGTCCTGCCCCACGCCAACCTTCATTGCACCGAGGTGCGACTAAGTTCGGGGGAGGTCCCATCCCATGCGAAGTCGTCCAAGCCAATAGGCAATGCCATGGCCTGGATGCCAGCCGTCTGAACAGAGGCAGTCGGGACAGAATGGCAACATGATGTGGCACGCACCACCAGCTGCTCCGACGTTGAGTGTGTATCTTCACAGATCACGCAGCACCATCCCAGCGAGCGCGGCCGACCTTCATATCACGTAGGACTGTACTTCTTGCGAACTGCAAACACGGTCGCGATTGCAGAAATCTAGTTCTCCCATCTCTGGGACCACCCTCGCAAGTTCACCTCCTGAGGTGCGAAGACTGAATAAGGGGAGTTTGACGTATATGCGATGGTTGACAGACACATCTGTCAGTTTGTTTACACGCACCGCATTTTGATGTGGAGCTACACACACACGCCTTGATTGCCTGCTAGACGAACGCAGCACGTCACTATCCATAGTGGAGCCATGACTGAGTAGCATAATTAGAGGATAAACCTATGAGTGCGAAATTGCCTTTTAAAATTTGATTGTACTTGTACATCCAGCCACATGTCTCCGCAACGTTTGGCCACCTGCGCACCGTTACCGATCTCGCAACGTTCGTCGATGCTATTCCGCGTTTCTCTAGCATCAGTTCCTGAACGCTTATCCCGGACAGCCAACCACGAGTCATCAGGCATAAATTATACAAAATACCTGTATAAAAGGAGTAGTCATGTAGTCATGTATTAATATAGATGTGATGGCGATGTGCAGGTGCGTGTGATGGAAGCTACTGCAGCATCGCGTTTTCTAAAGCACGCTCTCAGTCTCAAGGCTTGCACCGGTTTAGTGCACTTTGTACCTTGTTCCCCAGTTTTTAAACCCCTACTCGTCTTTGATGATCTCTGTTCACAGGCTCGAACGCTAGCTGGGGTATCTGCGGGGATATTTTGCGGTACAGGATGGGGGAAACAACTCAGAAAGCTCAAAGCCGTGAACGCTTCTCGCGATGCCCTGAAGTTGTGCGTTGTGCTAATGGTACTGCATGGCTGCTCCGGAGGCAGGTGGTCCGTTTGCTCCGCATGCAGTGACGGTGCAATTCTGCAACGTAAGGTAATGACCTTTCCTGATCATCAGCATGCTAGTTGTCGTTTGTGTACCTTTGTTTTTCTTCACCATAGGCACAGGCAATAACTGCCCTCTCACAAACACAGGCACCCTGGCGTATTGCCACAATTCTCCCCAAAGTGATGAAAGCTTACCCCAGTACCTTCCATGACGAAACATGTGTTTAACAGCAGAAAGGTTTCCACAATCGCAGATTACTAGTATCTCAG